GAAGGAGGATTTGTTGAAAGATTTGTTGAAAGATTGTTGATTTTTCTTGAATTTCTTCCCTTTGGGTTTGAAATTCTTAGATTTAGGCTTATCCTCTACCAAGTTTACTTTAGCTTTTGTTTCATTCTTGGTGTTGGAATTTTGCCTATGCTGGTCTTCAATATGAATAGCCTTGAGGGCTTCAGTTAAGGTTAGATCCCCTTGCTTGTGTCGGAGATCTCCAGCAAATCTAGACCAGGAGGGAGGAAGTTTATCAATCAAACAGGAAACTTTATAATCGTCAGTAAAAGTGTTTCCTTTTGATTGCAGATGACGGAGGAAATCTAGGAATTCATGAATTTGTTCATTAATGTGCTTGTCATCAACCATCATGAACTTATTGAATGAGGAGGAGGTGAAACGCAGAATTCCGGCATCATCATAGCCATATTCTGCTTCCAGAGAATTCCATAGGTCTTTTGCACTTTTGAACTCATAATATATGTCATAAAGGTTGTCCGCAAGTGCACTAAGAATCCTATGACAATAATGATAGTTGATTTCTTCTGGTTTCATAGAGCTAGAAAAGGAGCTAGCACCAGAACCAGAAGTGGAAGGAGCAGGTTGAGCAGGATCAGGAGTCAAAGGTTAAGAACCACTAGTAGATGACTCAGAAGTGTCAATAGCAGATAAAAGACCTAAGGTAGTGAGCCAGTATTTCATCTGATCAGCCCACCGTTTATAGTTAACACTGGTGAACTTCTCAGGTTTGACACTTTTTGAATGATCAGAAATTGCCATAAGTCCAATTCAAGTTTACTAGTCTAGGTAGATGTAATCTGATCAAATAAAAGATTTTGTCAATACTACTAGACCAGAAACTTAATTAAACCCGCTCTTAACCAAAAACTCTAAAAGTGAAAAGATTAAAGTTTTACTCTGATAGTTTGGCTAGGTAAGGATAGTACTAGAGGTTGATCAAAGATCTATTAAGTACCTCGTTTCTTGCAGAGCGCTTTACGCAACCCTTAAACCTTGCCTTAGACACCAACTAATCCAAGAAAACTTGAACTGGTTCACTTAATTTTTTTTTGTTTTTTTACTATATATATATGAAAAGTGACAGGTGCAGAAATTGAGTACAGAAGCAGCAAAGAAATAAATATTTTTTTAACTAATTTAGATGCCACAAATTAAAACAATTAACTAATACAACAAGTAATTAAAATATATGAATATTCGGGTGAACAGTAATCCCGATGAATAGTAGTTTTTTTTTTTAGTTTTTTTTATTTTTAAAATTAAATTAACAGCAAGAAATTTTATTTAATCTTCTAGATTGCTGTCAAAATAGGAATATAATAATATAAAAAATAAATTAAAGAGTTAGAAAATTCAGGCCTGATCGGGAGCAGTCATGATATCACTACCCTAGAAGATTAATGACCAGCCTATCACCCTGGCGTAATTTGTCCCCTCCCCCCTAGCGGTAAAAACCCCCGGAATCGGCCGGCCTTTGCACTCGGGCGTGAGTCACAGAGCTTATGCTCAGACGAAAACGGTTGCCCAAAAAATAAAAATATAAAATATGTAGCCGAAATTTCTTAGAGGAATGAGAGTAGAGAAAGAAGAGAGCTTAGAAGTTCTTCTCTTCGTTGGTGTGTTTCTGAATGAGCTCCAAGCCTGCTTATATAGGTGAGGAGATGTAACCCCCGCTGAATCCAAGGGACCGTTACGCACAAATCTTGCTTCCGTTACCCGCATGCAGCCGTTACAGAACGTGTAAAACGTGCAAAAATAAAAGCTTGAGAAGCAAAAATGTGTGCGTGTGCGGTGCGGCGTGGCGCGCGGGCGAGGCGTGGCGCGCGGGCGAGGCGTGCGCGCGTGTGTGGTAGAAATGCAAAGCCCACAAAACCCAAAATACTATTCAAAGCCCAATAAGGAGAGGACCATTATATACCCTATACTATTCATCTCATTTTCCAATGTGAGACTATTCACAAAGGCAAAATTGCCTTTTCATGAACAAAGCATCCAACATTATCCATCATTGTTCCACTAAATTATCTCACTTTACAAATTATCCCAGTTCTAATTAAAAAGTTCTAGTTAGTGAAGAAAAAGAAAGCAAATAAAAAACTCTTTTCAATATATAATGAACCAAAGAAAACCACAATCACTCATATTTAATTTGTCTTCTCTAGAAAATTGACCATCCATATTCCATGACAAAGTACATATAGAAAATAAAAACATCTCACAATCATATCATTATCAATGGGCGAGGAACTTCCTCATCACGTTGGAAGGAGCCTTACATTTTAAAAAGTTATTGGAAAAATATTTGACCTCTTATAACAACAATAACAAAACTTTTATCCCAAAATTGGGTAAGCTTGTATACGAGAAAATTGCGGATGATTTTCAATCTAAAACATTTTTAAACAATAAAAGCTCAAACGAGTTATCTAGAAGAATAAGGTAAGCAAAAATAGAAGAAATGTAACCTTCTAAAGCAAAATGTAATGAAAAATAGATCCAAATAAATTGGAGAGCTACGGGGAATCAACAAATAGATCATTGCAGGTTAAGAATTCCTAAACAAACCTAGTTTTTTAAAGATAAGAAGATGATGACAAGAAAGTAACTTGTAATTCATTAAACCCTAAGGCGAATACAAGTGAGCAAGAGACACTAATACAAGTGAACATGTCAAAAAATTTCCAGAACCTTCATTTATTTAGAAACAACAGAAATCCCCAAATTAGTTTCGCCCAAATTAAATTGAATTGAAGATCATTAGAAAACCCTAATACAAATCAAAGTAATTATGTAGAGAAAGGGGGTGCGAGATCTATACCTGCGGGATTTGAGCGAGCCGCCTGAAACCGTAGAATTCAGAATCGACAGAAATCCCCAAATTAGTTTCGCCCAAATCTCAGTTTTAACGTCCAAATCTTCAATCAAACCAAAGATAAATCGAAAATGGAGGAGGCAGCGGGAAATAGAGGAGGCAGGTAAAAGAGGAGGGCGACGAGAACAGTGGTGATGGGAGTGAGAGAGTGAGGAGGCGATTGGTAAGAACAGGAGGCAGCGGGTCAGATTTGATAGCGGGAAGAGGATGCGGCGAGTCAGATTTGATAGCGGGAAATAAAGGAGGCAGGTAAAAGAGGAGGGAACCTAGCGGTGACGGGAATGAGGGGTTTTGGTTTTCGGAAGCTGAGAAAAAGATGAGGTGGCTTGCTTTTGTTAGATATCCAGCCCACATCACCTATCAATGAGAGGATTTTACAAATCCTAAAAAATATTAATCTTTTATAATTTGGGGATCCAATAACCCAAAATTGGTTTTGAAACAAACAAGGTTTATGGAATACTAAAACAAAAAAAAAAAAAACACTTTTTACACCCCAAAACTTGTAATCCACCCTATATCCAAAAAAAAAAAAAATTTGAAACAAACACCCCCTAAATGGGATGCAAATTACAAACAAGCAATAAATCCTAAATAATCAGTACATAATCAGTATCAATATCAGCATAGGCTAGGCAGTAAATACCAATACAAATAGTTAAAATATCAACACAATGGGCATATTGTTTTAGTGAAGTTACTAACTATGAAATAAACGATGAAGCACGCACATCGCGCTATCCTTGGTCTTCTAGAGACTAGAGATACCTTCATAGACATTTTTGCCCTCGATATCGGGTTGATCAGTACGAGGCTTTGCGGCCTGCTCCAAGCTCCAAGTGGGCTTCCTATTTTGCTTCCAGGGCTTCGTCATTCCTAACTAATGACCACGGCCCGGTAGTAGGGGTTTTTTAAAGGGT